CCTGCCCAAAGAGGGCTTCTCTTCAGACCACAGTGTGCCTGGCAGGACACCAACAGGACTGCAGCTCCTCTGGTGGAGGGTGAACACTGGGTTTGGGGCTGGAAAGAGGCCTTCAGAGCCACCCCCAGCAATTCTCCTGAGCCCGACAGGGTTACAAGGTAGTGAAGAAATAAGGGTGGCACCTTCTGTGGAGCATCCTGCAAGGGCTGGCAGACACCCCTGGCCAGTGAAGTGGCACCATTTCCCAGCTGAAAACTCATGTTGGTTGCTACTTCTCCCCACAGCATGGATCTTAAAGCTAGGGCAGCTCTTTGGCTTAAGGCAAAGGATGGATCCCAAAAAAAATCTGCATTCCCTTCCTCCCCAACAGGAAAGCACCAGAGCAGAGGATGTTGCATCCCCTGGCTCAGCTCTTGATGCTTTAGTTGACTGGAGATGGGCCATAAGAAGGTAGAGGGATTGAAAAGAATCCTTTGGGGACCTCCACGTTGTATCCTGTCAATCATTAGGTTTTTGAAAGCCACCCCCCTCTCAGCTGCCAGGCTGGTAAGTGCTCTAGATAGCAAAAGGAAGCCCATGAATGGAAAATCCAGCAGACACATTAAAAAAAAAGGGGAAAAAAGCTGCTTTTCATTTTAATCAAAACATGGCATGAGAGAAGAACAAGAAGAAAAGGCATTTCTGCAGCCAAACCCCAGCCAGAACAAGGCAGGGGGCTGCCTGCCCAAAGGTCTGGGAGGAGGAACACGAAGAGAAGAAGGTTCATAAACAAAGAGATGAGATGCAAAAGCCCTGCACGCACCCTGTGGCACTAACCACGAGGCTGGGGCTGAGCACCAGGGCACAGGAGGCTCTGGGAGCCAGCAGCCCTCCTCCCAGCACAAACCAAACACCCTTCCCAGGCTGCTGGATAGATGGGCTTCCAGTTCAGGGAGGGAGAAAACTGTCACAGGGGAGGGATGCCAAGGCTGGGATACCCTGTTCCTCCCCTCTGCTGGCTTCCCCATCCCATTCCTCCCACACACTCCACGAGGACAATCATATTTTTAGTACTATTTTTTTTACAGATAATTAGATGGTAGGATTAGAAACAGCATGAGAACTCTGCCTTCCTTCCAGAACAGCCCTGTCCCTCCATTCTCTGTCCCCACAGCTCCCTGATGAGCTGGGGGAGCTCCCAGCTTTGGACCAGGAAGTTGTATTTCCCCTCAGCAGGGTCCTGGCTGTGAAGGCAAGATGTGGAAGTATTCATAACATTCCCCCCAAGACCCAGCTGTCTTCTCCTTGCTCCCCAGTTCAAAGCTTTCCTTCTCCCCTCTGCCTCCTCCTTCTTCCCAAGAGATGGGCTAAAGGGGGCTTGAAGTGAACTCTCCCTCTCAGGCCTGAGGACCAGCCCAAGGAGGTCCCCAAGATCACAGCATTTACACAACCAAGCTGCAAACTTCAATGTCATGTCATTGTTCAGCCTGAAGAAGGATCTGGAGAGACCTGAAAGCACCTTCCAGTACCTGAAGGGGCTCCAGGAAAGCTGGAGAGGAACTTTTTTACAAGGGCATGGAGAGATAGGACAAGGGGGAGATGGTTTCAGGCTGGAAGAGGGGAGATTTAGGTGAGATCTTAAGAAGAAATTCTTTGCTGTGAGGTTGGTGAGAGCCTGGCCCAGGCTGCCCAGGGAAGCTGTGGCTGCCCCATCCCTGGCAGTGTTGAAGGGCAGGTTGGATGGGGCTTGGAGCAGCCTGGGCTGGTGGGACGTGTCCCTGTCTGTGGCAGGGGGGTTGGAACAACATGAGGCTTAAGGTCAATTCTATTATACACTTTATGTCCCTGTGACATCAGGGGGGTCCAGTACCCCAAGGTAGATGAATCCATCTTTTTTTTCAGACTTGCTCACCCAACCAAGACCAGAAAAATGAAAAGCTTCAGGTCCTCTCCCTCCAGACCAGATCTGGAGATCTGCTACAGCTGCAGAGCTGGTCATGTCCCCAGGGTCAAGCCTCAATTCTGCTTAAGCAGCAAGAAGCACCCAGCCCATCAATACAGTTAACAAGTTGCAGTGGTGTGGAGGACCCCACTTCATCTTCACTCCCAGAGCCCCAGGACATCACCCTGCTTCTGGCCACAACGGACAGCATCCTGCAGGACTCTGGCTCGTGCCAGCCCCCAGGAGGCTGCCCCGTTCCTGGGTCAGGGCTGCTGTAGAGAACACAGCCTCAAACAAGTATGGGATCTTTAAAGAGCAAACCACAAAGCTGAACCTGTGTCACAGGGCCAGTCTTCCCCAAACACTGAGTCACAGCCGTGAATGGAACAAGCGCATGAGGGTTAGTCAGACAGGAAGATGGCCCTTGCTTAAGGTACCTTTGATGGAATGGCTGGCCCTCCTTCAGGATCCACTGACCTCAGCCAGATATATGAGCTGGCCTCAGCTTATATAACGGCAGAAAAGTATTTATAACTTCAAATGTTCACCATTCCCTTTGCCCTTCGACCGTGTTTATGCAAATGCAGCTCACATGCAGCTCCACATGAAGCTTTCAAGGGGTTTGAGGCAAAGCTTTCCACTGTGGAAAGCTATGGGGTTGTTGGGGTTTTTTTTATAAGACATGAGCTCTTCCACTCCTCATGTTTTGTAGTTAAAAAGATTTACTTCTAAGTGCTCAGAAAATTCATTCCAGACTCCAGGCAAGAACTGTTAATTTGAGAGGAACTTGCGGTGATTATGGTGGAAAGACTGAGACAGACATTATGGTTAGAGGGAGCAGTGCAAACAGACCTGAGATGTTCTACCTCTGCTGCTAACTGGCTGCAGGTTGTCTCCATTTCCAAGCTCCACAGCAGCTGAAATATCCCCTATGGAAGTGTCACAAACCAGTTCCCCCTCTCCAAGTCCGTCATCACCTTAACGCTTCAATGAATGTAGTTGCTGTTGGTTGGTATTACTGGTCTCAACTGGTAAACGATCCCGAAACCTTTAGGAAGGCTGCCTGAAATTCCAATTTAGTCAGGAAAATAGTCTGGAAGAGAGCAATAGATCTCTGAGTCACCAGCATAGGAGTGGTCACTAAATTTCTGGTAGCCCAAAACAAGCGTAAGTGAAGAGAAAGGGAGGAAAAACAAAGCTCACTGAAGACTTCCAGAAGGTGAAGACACCAACAGGAAGGACCTTCTTGAAAGACACACTCAGAGGTCAGGAAAGAATGGTTTCTAAGGAGTTCAAAGTCAGCTGGCAGATAAGAAATGGATCTGGAGTGCTACTGATGGAGAACAATTTGCCAACAGGATGTTTAGTGAGCTTTGGTGTGAAGGGGAAGCATTCCAGAGGAAGGAAAGGCAGCTGGAGAGGAAAGGTCTCATGGTACCTCTCTCAAAAATGTCTAAGAAAATCCAGTTCAGAGAAACAAATAGAACAAAACATGCCCAAGAGTCTCTGGAGTCAAGAGACAGGGGAGCTTCTTGGAGAAGTCAAGTCAATCTCAAGGAACCAATCTGATTCAGGAGGAAAAGTAGGAGGGGATCTGTGAGTGTGTGGGGAAAAGTCAGCGTGGCATTTCTGCACCATGAGCGCAGACAGTGGCTTAGGGGAAGCATGGCCTTCGTATTTTAAGGTCAGGTTAGACAGAAGATGAGCAAGTTTCAGTGTAAAGAAAGGAGTCTGTGTTCTTGGAGACAGCCCCCTCTCTTGTGTAAAGACCTGTCTCCACCCCAAGTCACTGTGAGGTCCTTAAAGCTCAGGAATTTTTCTCCAACTGCCATCCACTCCTCCCCAGGTTTTCCTTGCTCTTTCCTCACTGCTTGACCTTCACATCCACTCAGATTCTCCAGCAGTCACTTGTGAGAGGTTTTGGCAAAAGCTTTATATTCACTACCTGCTCAGTCCAAACTTTCTCCTGTGCCAGACAATGATATAAACTGTGTGTGGTACAAAGCACCTGGTGATGTGGTGGACCCTGATGTTCACAGAGAACAGAGTCCACCACCCACCCTCCCCCGGTAATTAAGTCTAGACCCATGGATAGTCTTGAACCAAAGACTTCAGACTGCCAGAGCCCCAGAGAGCTTCAGATCCAACTTCATACTTCACACCTCAGAGCCAGGACAACATGAACCTCAGCAGTAAAGCCCCAATCCAACATTTCCAAGCTGGTACCACCTCTTGTGTCCCTGGCTGGTCACAAACCCTGAGACCAGAGCTAAACACCAGCTTTTTATGAAACCAGCCCTCCATACAGCTCCTCATGAGCCATTGGGAAAGGTCTGGAGAGAGCTTGTGTGGCTGAAGCACTTGCTGTGGTAGGATGGTTGTCAAGCTGAGCCTTCAAAGTGATTCCTGGAAGCTGAAAGAATAAATTGAATGGAGATTTGCCCTCCTCAGCTAGCAACTGTAGCAACATCCTATTGAAATAACAGTCCTGAAACTCATCGAGGGAGGAAAACTGGCAAAAGAGAATTTTAAAACAGGTCTTTAACAGCAGCATAAAACTTTTAAGAGTTGAACATCCCACTCGTAAAAGCAGAAGGTCTAAGTCTGCTGTGCAGGTGTCAGGAGTAATTATTTCCACTTACTTACTGAGAAACACATTAGATGTTTTGACTGCAAAGTGTAAAAGGCTTTGCCAAAAAACTGACACTGAAGAGGTGGAGGGAGAGGCAGGAAAAAGAGGCAGCAGAAATGGGAGAAAACACACACTACAGTTACATTCTAGTGAAGCAGTTGCCATTTTGACTCTCTTCTAGCCTCCCAGGACTGATGAGCTGAAGGGTCTGCCTTGAATTCATTGAAGCCAAGGAGAATCTTGCCTCCAGCATGTAGTGAGCCAGGTTATAAAGACAGGGCTTAATTTGATAGCCATCCTCACATTTGCAGCTGGGTTCAGAAGCAGCCAGCACTCACTGCCTGCTCACCTCTGGAGTCACAGAATCACAGAATCCCAGGGGCTGGAAGGGACCTGGAAAGCTCCCCCAGCCCAGCCCCCCTGCCAGAGCAGGGGCACCCAGAGCACATCACACAGGAACGTGGCCAGGGGGGTTGGAATGTCTCCAGAGAAGGAGACTCCACAGCCTCTCTGGGCAGCCTGGCCCAGGGCTCTGGCACTCTCACACCAAACAAGTTCTTCCTGAGATTCACATGGAACCTCCTGGGCTCCAGTTTGCACCCCCTGCCCCTTGTCCTGTCACTGGACATCACTGAGAAAAAGCCAGTCACCCAGGTCTCAGCTCTGAAATCACTGGCTATCCTGGTTTACTTGTAATTATGTGCTGCCAAGTGAAGTTCACCTTTTCTAGAGCTCTGAAAGATGGACCTAGAAGGTCCCAGAGAAGCCAAATGCCAAACCCCTCTAAACCCCTCTGCAGAGCCTGCCTTGATGGTGAAGCTGTAGCTCTCCTTAAGCTCTGCCCCGTTGCCTTCACCATTAAAAGTTTCTCCTAGAAGTCCCTGGTTAGGGTGTAACTCTACCTCATCCCCATGGACCATGAGGGCAGGCAGCTGCTTTCCTTACAGCAGCAGCACCTATTGGCCCACCCAAACCCTGCTCTAGTGACCTTCTTATCAAACATCCCCAAGGCTGAGCCAAATCACCGCTGCCTCTTTTTGCCGAGTCAAGAGAGAGGAAACCCAACAACCCTGAGACCCCAGGAGAGGAGTGGTTACTCACCCAGGTGACTAAGGGCCTCTTTATCCCATGGCCAAGTGGCAGCACCAGCCAACTCTTCCCTCACCGAGCTGGCGAAGTAAACATTGAGGAAGTGGGTGCTGTTCAGCTGCAGAACCTCCTTCAGCTCCTTCACACTCATGTAAGCCCTGCAAGGACAAAGGGGGGAGGAAACAGTCACCACACACTTCCATGGAGCAAAGAGGAAAAGCAGGAGCCACCCAAAGATCTCCTGGAAAGGGTGCAGACAACCTGGAAACCTCCTCCTCAACTCCCTGGTCAAGTGTGGCCCAAATTCCACGTGTTCCCAGAGTGTGGCCACAACGTGACTAATTCTGGTCAACAAGGTGCAAGTTCTGCTGGTGAGAGGGTTGGGTGGGAGATAATAATGCACATCTGAAGCAGTTCTGCTAATTACAGTCATTTTGTTGATGAGCTCTACTTTTAGAGAAGGTTTTTTTTCCAACAACAGGGACAGAAGAGACCCAGGGAACAGGATAAAAGGAGACAAAATGGGAGGAGTAAATATGAGGAAAGAAAGGAAGTACAGAGGTCAGTCCTGCCAGGGAAAAGAGGGGGTTGGCATCAGAAAAGAGAGGAGGAAAAGAGAGGAGGAAATAAGTGAGTTTTCTTCAAGATGTGAGGAGAAAGAAAGGAATCCAGAAAGGAACCCAGCTGGTTCCAACAAGGGTTTGCAGGGGTTGTCCCTGATCCATGGCTGGGCAGGAAGGGACATCAAACCTTGTTCCTGGGAGCAGAGGGGTTTTGCCAGCTGAGGCTGAGAAGTCTCTTCTCCAGCATCTGTCTGGAGAAGTTCACCCTCACAGCTCTCCACTCTGTCCTTTTCCCCAGGACAACCAGTATCCCAGAGGTGGCCACACATGGTAAGAACAAGGGGTCACAGGCATGAGGCACAAGCATGTAATGCATCAAGAAACCTGCTACCTCCTCCCCACACATTGCCTAGGGAAAAGCATGAGCAAAAGGTGTCTCAGTTTTGCTCCAAGAACTCTCTCTCTTCCAGCTCTGCTGAAAATGGACTTTGGAGAAGGGTGTTGCCTGGTCCCCCCTCCACCAGCAGGGTCCTCTTCACATCACTCTGCCTCTCTGCAGGTCCTCTCTTAAGGGAGGTCTGGGACATGTGCAGAAACCAAGGCAGGGAACCATGGGAGCTTCCAAAATAAGCTCAACAGAGAGAGGGGAACACCTCTGGAGACAGATTCCTCAAAGGGCACATTCAGTGGGAAAAGCCTCCCGAGGACACTGCTGGCTGGGAATAAGGACAGCACAGAGCTGGGAAGAAGGAGTTGCAGCAGCAGAAAAAAAAAACAACCTACTGGAATGAGGATATCCAAGACATCCATTCCTAAAGGGCATGGGAAAGGCTGGGAGAGGTGGGCAGGCAAATAGGCATTGCAGCAGAGCAGGAACACCCCTGTGGGTATGTCTGGGTGTCCACAAAATGCTCCTCACCACACAGCCTGTCTCTCAGCAGCTAGAGAAAAGCAAAACTAATGACAAAAAGAACCCCCACAACATATCAGTTAAGAAATTTAGGGTTTGGTCTCCTCTTGACACGGTTATTTCTGCACAGGTCAGAGGTCTGGCTTGCATTCCCCACACACCAACTGTCCCAGCATTGATCTTCAGGGAGTTTGTATCCTCAGCCATGTGAAACTATCAGGATCTAACTTCATAGCAGTAACAATTCCAATAATAATTGCAGTGGGACGGTAGGGCCTTGGGCTGTGCTGCAAGTGCCAGATATTCTTCCATGTGAGTATCAGGAAGAACTTGTTTGCTGTGAGAGTGCCAGAGCCCTGGGCCAGGCTGCCCAGAGAGGCTGTGGAGTCTCCTTCTCTGGAGACATTCCAACCCCCCTGGCCACGTTCCTGTGTGATGTGCTCTGGGTGCCCCTGCTCTGGCAGGGGGGCTGGGCTGGGGGAGCTTTCCAGGTCCCTTCCAACCCTTAGGATTCTGTGAAATCAAGTACTACCCTTCCCACCATCAGTGACATTGGCTGAGACAGCATCAGGACAGGAAGCCCTAGAAGGCACTGTCCCCAAAACCTGAGGACCCTGACCCATGGTTTGTGGAGCCATGAACTGAAGAGATTCCAAGCAGGGGAAAAAAAACAACAACCTCATGGAAAGACTTCAAATACATGAGAGTGGAATGGTGATGGAAATGCACCATTGTGGAAATATGTCATAAGAATGACTAAAACTGCAACCTAAGGCCAACAGCAACATTAAGGTGCTGGAAAGCATGTCAGTTCTTCCCATGCTTCCAGAAGGAATTGGCATCTTGGAGCTACACAGAGAGATCCTGAAGGAAACGGGATCATTTCTTTAGGCCAGACTAACCATGAAGACACACCATTTGAAGGAGAAGCTTCTGTAAAAGCTGTGTGGACATCCCTCATTGCATTGAGTATGGAAGCTGAGTATGGGTGAAGGGGAAAAAGGCACAATCTCATCCTAGCTGTGAAGTGAGGAGGGAAACCACCTGGAGATGTGTAAATGAACTGTTTGAGATGGCAAGATCCCTGGTGAAGTTATTATACCAACAGACTTCTTCAGAAAGAGAGGAGTTGCTGCAGCAAGTGGAGGAGGAAAAAGTGAGAAGATTGAGGAATGGGGTTCCAGAAGTAGACTAGAGCAGGATGGCACGTGGAATAGAGTTGGGTAAACCCAAGGGAGGCTGATTCCCTTGAGCTGAAATAGCAGAGACTTGCAGAAGCCGTTGCTGATTTGGGAGGTGTTATCTCATGAGGACCTGCTGACTACCTGTCCTCTCCCAGCCAGCCCCACCAGGCCCTCCTGGCCTGGAGACATCTCACCCACCTCGTTCCCAGCGACAGAGCAGCCCCAAAACTTCAGCCACATCACAAAACCTCGGCTGGACTCTACGGCCGCGTCTAACGGCGCGACAAGATGACCAGCTTGTCTTCACCAGGCCCCAAGATCTCCCACCACAGAGCAGCATTCCCAGAACGTTTTCCTCAGCCACATGGGCTCGAGGAGAGAAACAAACTCTCCCAACCGGAAACGGCAAATTGGGAGAACATGATCTCCCCTCTGTGATGTCTGGCCTGAGCATCCCAGACACGCGCCGCGCCGACGCCGTCCCTCCAACCCAACAGGAAAAAAAAAAAAAGGCAGGGAGAGGAGCAGATAGGGAGCAGAATAAATAAACCTGAAGGACATATTTGTGGCATGAGTCGGAAGGAAGAGAAGCAACAGCACTTCGTAGAAATCGGGCGCGCGGCCGGTGGGGGGGAAAGGGGGAGAGAAAGTCTCCCCTTCACGCACCAGAGCTGCTCGGGGGACACAGTCTTAAAAATAACATTGATTCCTGACCTATGATATCTTGGAAAAATAGCCCCAAAGCCTTTCCAGGCTGTCCAAATTCCGAGAGCTGACGTCAGGCCTATTCAGAGGGATATTCCCGCCGCCCCTCTTCTGGAGACACGATGTTTTTCTGGCTGTCGCCTGCCGTTCCCTTGACACTAACAACATTTTTTGTCAACCCTTCATTATAAATAACTATAATTTCCTCCATTGAGAGATTTGGATGGGTTCAGGGCTGTGTCAGGGGCAGGGGGAATGGTTCCAGCGCTGAGAGATGATCAGATGGATACAGAAGGAGAGGAAAGGACCCCGATTTCATGCGCTCCGGCATGGAAAGCGCAAATATCCTTCTGCTGGCATCTCCAAAGACATGACCAAGACCAAAACGACTCTAGAATGGTCAACTCCAATTCCCCTCAATCCACATTTCCCACTGGCATCCTTAGCTTAGACAAGGAGCATGTAACTGGCGTCTTCGTCTGTCTCTTACTGCCAAGGTCATGCTTTCCCTCTTCTTCAGCACTTCTGGGATTTTCCCAGGGGAAAGGCAGAGCAGCCTTTGGTTTCCACAAACAGCCTAAATGACAGTCCTCTGCTCCCCAAATAGCTCCTCAATGCCTACAAGACTAGAGGATTCCAAGCTAGATGGTGTTTCCAGCAGGGTGGGTGCTACAAGCCAGCACACAAACACCAGGATGGCCAGGAGGACAGGAGAAGGCACAGCTAACCAGCAAGAGAACCCCAAAAGAACAGGGCAGAGGACAGAAGAGACAGAAAAGTGCCATTAGGTTGGCCAGATTCAAAGCAAATGTGTTTTTTTTTCCAAGAGCATCCAAAACTTGCTGGTCAGATTCAAAGCAAATGTTTTTTTTCCAAGAGCATCCAAAACTTGCTGGGTGGCCAGGTGCACAGTGACACCACCTTCACCTGGGGAGGATTTGGAACCCTGGAGGAGTGGAGCTTGCAAGAAGAGTGTAGGCAACAGCAGAGACAGGTTAGGGACGGGAGGGCTATGGATTCCCATCACTAGAAATGGGCATGAATGTCACCTGAAATGATGGGATTTGAGGGAATGAGTCCAGATAGGAGGGCTTCCCTCATCACGGAGCTGACTTGTCATACTGTTGACTTGAAGTTCTGGTGAGTGATGCATGCAGACAGCCTGACCCCAGGGCAGGCTGCAGCACCACAACACACACTGATTTACTTTCAGGCCTCGTGGTTGGCAGAAGCAAGATGGGGAAGAAGTGTGGGCCTGGTGTTGCTCTGCAGCAGCACCGTGGAGCTGCACTGATGCTTGGGTGGTCCTGACACTGGGTCAGGAACACGTGGCTCTGTATGGGATTTGTCAGGTTGCTCAAGGCCATGTCCAGCCAAAAACTAAACAGCTCTGAAGACAGAGGTTTCACAATTTCTCTTGGCAACCTATTTCAGTGTTTAATCACCCTCACGGCAGAAATTATTCCTGATGTTTAATCCACATTTCTCATGTTCCAGTTTGTGTTCCTTGCTTCCTGTCCTATCATCGTGCAGAGTCCTGCTCCATCATCTCTGTGTCACCCCCTCACATCACATGGGAAAGCCATTAAATGCCTACAGCTTTGCATGGAAAACTATGACTGCACTAGACCTCATCACACCAAAGGTGTGGTCTAAAGACCCAAAGCTTCCCTTCTGATCAGCTGAAAAATCATGCTCAGCCCACAATCCCAGGCCTCCATGGAGAACTCTCACATCCCTTTCCTTGGACAGTGTTGTCCTAGTCCTTGGGGCAGACTTTGGATTTGTGGATGTAAGTCTGGGCTGGCTTGGTCAAAGGAGGAGGCTTGACATGCTCTGGAGAGACAAAGCTGGTGCTGCTTTTCCAGGCTGCAATTTCTGGCAGGAACAACAGGACCACTGCTGGTGCACACATGGGAGACAGGATTACCCTGGTAATCCATAGGGCAGTGGAATGGAAAAAAATCAAGCTATAACACAAGGTTGAAGTGGTTGAAGGTGGGAGAAGAGGAGCCAGAGTGGCACTTTGAAGTGTCACCTGTAGCACAACAGGGTGTCTCAGGGCCATGAAAGTGGCCGTTGCCACCAAAAAGCAAAACATGGAGCTTCCCAATGAAAAGCAAGGCCAGGACATCACCCATCCAATACCATAAATCAAACTGAATTCTCTGGGTACTGCAAAGGATGCAGTGTGTAATGCCACAGGAATTCCACTGCAACTCAAAAATAGGAGACTTTTCCCGGTAGACTTTTCAGAGGGGATGTGGGAGTGAGGTTGGATGGAAGTTGTCCAAGTGCCCTCCGTGGCAAGCTGGAAAGTATTTGAGACCCAGCCAGCTCCAACTAACCATACAGCAGAATGAAGTCACAGGGGACTCCTGGCTCTGCTTTCATGTCCTTCACCCACCCTAAGGAAATGCCTTTTCCTCCTCTCTCGAGCAGGGAGGCTCCCTTTCCCCAAAAGGAAGCCCTCAGACTTCCCAGGCACAAGCACCAACCTGCCACTCCCATTCTGGCTGTGCTGACAACACATTCCTCTGAGGCTGCACAGGGTTAACACAAGACACAGCCACCTCTCCTGCCCAAGAGCTACAGCTCAATCCACGAGGACAGGTGCTGAACCCAGTGGGATGAATATTTTCAGGGCACAGCCTCTAAACTCTCCGTCAGCAAAGAGAGAGGCTGCTCCTCCAGTGAGCCAGAATGAACATCTTCCAAGTCACCCCTGCCAAAGGACTCCTCTCCATGGTGAGTCTTTAGACTCTCTGCTTGCATACACAAATCCTCCTTGCTAGGAACTGTGAAGCCTCATCCCTGTTCCCAGCTGACACTCAGAGCCACCCACCCCATCATCCACAGGACATGGTACCACTTTGGCACAGCACACGAGCCAGGATGGGTCACTGGCTCTGTCTCCAGAGGGTGGCTCTTGCAACTGCAGCTGGTTTTACTCAACCTGGTATTTCTAGCCTTAATGAAGCAGGGGGAATGCTGCATTTTTAGGTAAAAGC